CAAAATGTGGCTCTCGCCTTAGCGCCGCACGCAGTCGGTTGTAAAAAATAAAAGAACTTCACGTATTCAGGGCGGGTCGTTTTCAAAATGAGGGTCTTGCCTCAGCGCCGCGCATATTCCTTTTCAAAACTTGCAAGAGTTTCACCGATTGAGGGCGGCTTCTTTTCAAAATGTGGCTCTCGCCTTAGCGCCGCAATCAGTCGTTTGAAAACTTAAAAAAGCTTCACTTATTCAGGGCGGGTCGTTTTCAAAATGAGGGTCTTGCCTCAGCGCCGCGTGCATTCTTTTTCGAAACTTGCAAGAGTTTCACCGATTGAGGGCGGCTCCTTTTCAAAATGTGTCTCTCGCCTTAGCGCCGCGCAGATTCTCTTTAAAAAGTGCACGAGTTTAAAGGATCCCCACCACCGACGTACAAGAGGAGGTGCTGCGGAAGGGTTCACGATTATGAGGGCGCAACACTCACGATGCTTCGCGGTGTTCAAGTCCCAGTAATGGCGTTCTGGCACGATTCCGGATCGTCAAGACGCAACAGTCAGGTTCACCCGTTACGTTGGAAAACCGAGAACAATGTCTTGGGCTGCATCAGGATCTTCAAACGGTTATCTTCCAACGAGGCAGGTTGCCCCTCTGTGGAAATGAGCCGTTGTTGGGGCCTATGAAGAGGGAGCGTGCGGGGAGGGCTTATTTCAACATCGTTGGTGACTCTTGGGTTTACACTGGTCCCCCTCCTCCTCCTCCTCCTCCTCCTCCTCCGCCTCCGCCTCCTCTGCCTCCTCCACCTCCTCCCCCTCCTCCTCCTACTCCTCCTCCTCGCACTCTCGAGAGGAAAAAACAAGACAACTACAACCGCTGGGCTGAGGAAACCGTCCCCAGGCGCCCTCCCACAGGGACGGCCCAGGACCCCCCGGCGGCGAGGACCCCTGCGCGCGGCGCCCGCCTTCGAACGCCACGCACAGGTAGGTCATCGCCGCTCGGGGGCCGAGGTCGGTCATGGAGGGACGCCAGCGGTGGCTCCCTCAGCCCAACATTGAGCAGGGACCGACCGTCCCGGCATTCCGATAGGCCTACCACGACATGTTCTGAGAATCCAAGGATGTTTTAAGAACTAAAACAACGCCCTTAAAGCACAGAGCCGATGCGTGAAATGAAGACCGTCCCAGCAAGCAACGCTCTAAGAACATGTCGTGCAAAGGTCGGGGGCGCGCAAACATTGATTAGCGATCCATGGATTTGGCTCGCGGTCGCCGAATCCATAGATCGGGGGAGGTGCCCTCCCGAACATGCGGCCGGTGCCGCCTCACTCGGCGGCAGAAATCCGCGATTCCCCATGGAAGCGGGACCCGTCGCTAATCCACGCCCCCGTTGATCCATGTTTGCGATCGCCTGGAAACAAGGGCTCCCAATTTCGCGCTCCGCGCTGCGCCAAGTGCAAACAACTTCGCGCCCTCGCGCCGCCCCCAAGGCAGAAGGGGAGGAGGAGGAGGAATCGCAGCCGAACCGCGGAGCGCGAATCCCTTCGCGCCCCCGAGGGCGCCCTTGTGGAGAGGAGGTGGGCCTCCTGACAGGCCAGGACGCCTCGCCACTGCTCGGCCGTGACCCGTGGCACCTCCCATGCGCACGCGGAGCCACCGGCGCGGGCCAACGGGCCGCCCCCCAACCGGGCCAGGGCCGTGCCGTCCGGGGCGGCCCCGAGGCCCCAGGCCTGGGGCCGCGGAAGGCCCCAGGCTCGGGCGCCTCCTCCTCCTCCTCCTCCTCCTCCTCCTCCTCCTCCTCCTTTTCCTCCTCCTCCTCCTCCTTTTCCTCCTCCTCCTCCGCCTCCTCCGCCTCCCGCTCCTCCTCCGCCTCCCGCTCCTCCTCTCCTCCTCCTCCTCCTCTCCTCCCCTCCTCCTCCTCCTCCTCCTCCTCCTCCTCCTCCTCCTCCTCCTCCTCCTACTCCCCCGCCGCCGCCGCCGCCGCCGCCGCCGCCGCCACCGCCCCCTCCCCCTCCTCCTCTCCTCCTCCTCCTCCTCCTCCTCCTCCCCTCCTCCTCTCCTCCTCCTCCTCCTCCTCCTCCTCCTCCTCCTCTTTCGCCTCCTCCGCGGCACGGAAAGGCCGGGCACGATGCCCGACACAACGTGTGGCCCCAAATCGACAGCGGCCGCTGCTGGGCAGGCGAGCTTGTGCCTCAACTGGACAACGAACACGGCGACGCCGACAGCGGATCCCGTTCAAGAGGACCCATGACTGCTGCTGATCTTCGTGCCCATTTAAAAGTAAACGAAACGGCATAAACATAAACTTTCGACGCTCCGCGCGGATTTCTTGGATCTGCGCTGGCCCCCCCTCCCGGGCCGCCTGCGCGGCGCGCATTTGCGGCGCCCCGCCACAGCTAGCCAAACGAGTCTACTTTCGCGCTCGGGCACGGACAGAGGCTCCAGAGGCTACTCCTCATCCTCTTCATCCTCTCTCCTCCCTCCTCCTCTTCCTCCTCCCTCCTACCGCTTTCCTGCAAGCTGCCCACATAATCCCACCAGCCCTTTAGGGCTTAGGTGGTTCAGGGCGTTTTCCCTTCCAACCCCCTTCTTTCCCTTCGGGAAGAGGTTTACCGATGGCCCAGGATGGCTCCAAGAGGGCCCAAGATAGCCCGAAATGGGTCAAGATTACCCAAGATGGCTCAAGATGGTTTCCGACATACACCAAGAGGTCCCAGAACCGCCCCAAGAAATGTCCAAGTGGCGCCCAAACCCGTCCAGCACCTAAGGATGTGTTTTGTTAGCAGCGCATCTTCTGGAGAGGGGGGGAGGGGAGAAGGTAGAGGGACACGAAGAGCCGATGACACCGGTGATTACCACCTGAGTTGTCGCGATGATATCGGCGATGCACTGCCAGGGCCCAATGACAAGCGGGCACTCTGCAGCGCCAGCTGCAAAACGACAGAGCGCGCCACGCCGAAAATGACGGAGTGGAGCAGCAGATCCAAGCGCCCACCCGCCGATGCGCAGACCAGATTGCGGCTCTACTACGCCACTCAAGGAGCAGTCAAAGAGAATTCGCGCGTGCGTGCTCCTCACCAGTGGTGACGGCGGGAAACGAGGGGAGAGGGCAGAGGAGAGGAAAGGAAGACAAGACGAGGACAAGGAAAGAAGGAAAGAGGGCGACCCGGCACATACTACCTGTACATCGCCTCCTGCCGGAGCCAGGCCAGATGCCGCCGGAATTACAGCAGCAGCCTGCCAGACAGTGAATCGATTAAGCACTTTTGCGTTCGCTCTCGCCTAGTGGGTCGCCAACCGCGTACCACTCAACTGGACGCGTCCATCCAACGAGCTTGGTCTTCTCGCGTGTTCGCTTCCGATGGCCTTCCGAGGCCTCAAGGTGGCTCCAAGAGGACCATAGAGAGGCCAAAGAGAGGCCCAAGCTACAAGACGACCCCAAAGCGCCCAAGAGCACCCCAAGAGGGCCTCAAGAGACGATTTTAGCAGCTGTAGAGGAGCAAGGCATGTTAAGGCCTCCCCCGTCTTTGATCAAAACCATGAATGTGATCCCAAGAATGCCCCAAGGCTCCCACCAGTGCCCCAAGAAGGACCCAAGAGGCTCCTAAGAGGCCTCCAAGAGGCCCCCGGAAGAGCCCAAGAGGCCCCCAAGACGCCCCAAGAGGCGCCCCAAGAGGCCCTCAAGACGCCCACGAGGCCACCAAGAGTCCCACAGGCGACATCCCAAGCGACTCCGAGAGGTATCCCAGAGGCCTCTGGCTCACTGATGCTCCTGGATGTATCCAAATGATGCCATGCTCCCCTGATAAGGGCAGCTACCCTAGGCATCGTTCCTGCATGGGCTGGTGGGGATACGCGACGTGTTTATAATTATCCGCGAGTTGGGGACACTCGCTTCAGTGACGCCGACGATATCGTCAGATGAGCAACAAGGCACAAACGTGACGCCAAACAATCGGAGAGCTCGCGTCGCTGCAATCGCTCACAGAGGAAGGGGGAGAAGGGGGAGAAGGGGGAGAAGGGGGAGGAGGAGGAGGAGGAGGAGGAGGAGGAGGAGGAGGAGCAAGAGGAGGAGGGGGAGGGAGGAGGAGCACCAACCTCAGCTGAGGGGATGGCGCGGGAGGAAGAGGAGGAAGAGGACGAGTGCAAACCCAAGACGGATCAACGTTGTTGTACTAAACCCTCCCAGCAAACTCCCTCTTCATCGGCTCCTGCAACAATTCATTTCCACAGGGTGAAATGCCCCGTGTGAAGACAACAGCTTGACTATCCTGAACCGTGCCGGAACACAATTCCTGGGACTTCAACGCCACGCATCACATGTCTGCTGCGCCATGACAAACCTGAATCGTACCAGAATGCCGTTCCTGAGACTTCAACACATCGAATCATCGCAACTGTTGCGCCCGAGCAGCCCTGCATCGTTCCGAAACACCATTTCAAGGACGTTAACCCTGCGAACCCATACAACCCTTGCAAATGTTGCAGACGCAAGTGCGCGGCGCTACGGCGAGAGCCATATCGCATATACATACATACATACCTACCTACCTACCTACCTACCTACCTACCTACGTACCTACCTACCTACCTACCTACCGACCGACCTACCTACCTACCTACCTACCTACCTATTTACCTACCTACCTACCTACCTACCTACCTACCTACCTACCTACATACATACATACATACATACATACGTACACCTACATATATATATATATATATATGCATTTAAACAAATAGATATATAGAGCACGGAGCCGACCTCCACCCGTGAAGCTCGTAAGTGTTCAAGACGCGTGTGCGAGTCGCTAAGGTAAGGCGAGATCTGCATTCACGCCCCACACTGCAATCCGTGAGAAACGCAAGCAAAAACGAACCTGCGCGGCGCCAAGGCGTGATCCATATTAAAACCTGATAGTGTCACGAACCCCGACCTTGGAGGACAAGTGGGCGTGAATTGCGAGACAGACAAAAGCGAAGAAGAGGATGCCGTTTGTCGTTGTGGCGCTTGGGGGCCTCTTGGGGACTCCTCAGGTCCTTCAGCCGTCCTGGGGCCCTCCTGAGGAAGTTCCAGGGCTGTCCGTTTGTTGCTCTGACGCTTTGCCGAGGCACTTCCAGCAGTCCTGGGATCTTGGGGCAGTCCTGGGGCTTTCTTGGGGTCTTGTCGGGGCTTTCTGGAGGCGTCTTGAGGTCTTGAGGTCTCTTGGGGTCTTCTTGTGCGTCGCTTGGGGTCTCTTCAGGTTCCCGTGTTGTCCGTTTGACGCTGTGAGGCTTTGTCGAGGCGCCTCCAGCCGTCCTGGGGCTCTCTTGGGGCAGGTCTCAGCCCATCTTGGGCGCTTCTGGGGGCTTGCTGGAAGCCTCTGGATGGTTCTTGGGAGCCTTTTGGGGCCTCTGCAGGGGTGGTTGGGGCCTCTTGGGGGCTTATTGGGAACCTCTTGGGGCCTCAGGATCATTGGAGCGGAGAACCCGAAAAACTCGGCCCCTGCCTCCGCTCCAGGGGCTTTCTTGGGGCGTGCCTGGAACACTTGTGAGGCCGTCTTGAAGGCCTCTTGGGTCGTCTTGAGGACGTCTTGTGCCGTCTGAGCGCTCTCTTGGGGGTCTCTGAGGTTGTCTTGGGGCGTTCTTTGGGACCTGCGGCGGGAAGCCGAAAATGCGAAAACCCCCTAAACCCTGAAACACCTATGGAAAACTAACGATTTGTTAAGTTTCGGGCTCTCCTGGAAAGCCTCTTGGGTGCCTCTCGGAGCGTCTTTTGGGCCCCCTGGACGTCGGGACGCCGTATTGGGCGTCTCTGGGTGCTTCTGGAGGGGTCACTGGGGCGGAGAAGCTGAAAAATCGGCCCCTGCCTCCGCTCCGGGGGCTCTCTTGGGGCGCGCCTGGAACACTTGTGAGGCCGTCTTGGAGGCCACTTGGGTCGTCTTGAGGACGTCTTGAGCCGTCTGAGCGCTCTCTTGGGGGTCTCTGAGGCTGTCTTGGGGCGTTCTTTGGGACCTGCGGAGGGAAGCCGACAATGCGAAAACCAAAACAAACGTCAAAAACCTTTGGAAAACTAATGATTGGTAATGTTTCGGGCTCTCCTGGAAAGCCTCTTGGGGGCCTCTCGGGCGTCTTTTCGGCTTTTTGGGACGTCGGGACGCCATATTGGGCGTCTTGGGCCGATGTTTCGGCCACTCGAGCCCTTCCTGGACCATCTTGGGGCCGTCCGTGCCTCCCGGAAGTGCGTCTGCAGAAATGGGGCCGACTCCGGCCGTCGAGCGGCCGTCTTCCTTTTTTAAAAAACGCTACTCCCATTCCCAATGAAGTTTTGCGAGGGCAATCTGAAAGAGAACTACCGCAGGAAGCGCGGCGCTACCGATCGAATCGGAGGAGCCCTGAGACACAAAACCGACGGAAACGCGTGGGCGGTGGCCGCTGGGCCGTTGCCCCGCGCCTCACGCTCCCCTGCCTCTGCAGGGAAGGCACAGTGAAGGCGGCTCCCCCCTCCCCCTGGTGGAGAGAGGCGCAACCCCCACGCAAGCGAGGCCCCAAAACTGGCCACAGGCATCCAGGCTCGAAGGAAGTTTACTGAGCGGGATCCCTGGGTTGCAACCTGAAAAAGCTCGTGAGAGTTCTCTGACCAGCGGCCGTCTTCCGCTGGCTTCCGCCGGCGTTCCGCCCGTGGCCGGGGCCATCTCCTGGGGGGTCCACCCCCAAACCCCCCCAGGGGGAGACTGAACGGGAACCCCTCCGCCAGGTCGGGGAAAAAACGGCCCGCTCTCCATCCGTGAAACCCGTCCAAGATTTCAAAACAAATGCGCGCGTCGCTGGGACGAGGCCCAGTCTGAAGACGACCCGCTCTCCATCCGTGAAGCTCTTGCAACTGTTTGAGGCGCATGTGCTTGTCGCAGAGGCGAGAACCACGATTCGATACGGAACCGCCCTCACTCCGTGGAGCTCGTGCGCGCTTCGAAACGAACGTGCGCGGCGTAAAGGCGAGAACAACATTTTAAAAGGAGCCGCCCGCCACCCATGAAAGCTTGCATTTGTTTGATACTGCTGTGCGCGGCGCCGAGGAGAGAGCCACATTTTTGAAAGCGGCCCGCCCTCCATCCGTGAAGCTCGTGCAAACTTTTAAATCGAATGCGCGCGGCGCTAGGGCGAGAACCACACATTATGTTGAAAACAACCCGCTCTCCATCCGTGCAAACATTGCAGAGTTCAGGCTTCAGGATCACAAGTGGTGAGGAAGTCTCAAGCGAAACGCCCGAACCGCCGTACCGACCGGTCTCAGGGTGCGACATGCAGGAATTCTTTATACGAAGTAGGGACAGGGGAGGATGGGGAGAGGGTCGAAGAGGGGGACGAGGAGGAGAAGGAGGAGCAAGAGGAGCACCAGCCTTAGCGTAGAAGGGGGGCGCGGGAGAGGGAGGAGGAGGAGGAGGAGGAGGACGACGACGACGGCGACGACGGCGGACGCGGAGGCAAAGAAAGAGGAGCACGAGGATGCGCTAAGGCTGTGGCCGAGGATATCAGCACGTGCCTGCGGCCCTCCTTCTGGGCAGAATCCAGGACCTCGCCGAGACCGAGGTCCTGTATCCTCGCGGGGAAGGGGCAGGCCCGGGCACCACCGTACAGCAGGAGCCCGACCGCGAGGAACCTCCCGCAAGGAAGCCAACCCCGAGAGCCCAAAACGACCAGTGAGATCTGTGGTGTGGGAGCAGGGCTACACCTAAACGGTGTTGTTCGTTTTCGTGCTGTTGCCGTTTTTCCTCGTTTTGTCTTGAATTGGCATTTGCTTCAAACCGGCATCGAAACGAAAGCGGCCCACGAAATCGCCAAAACACCGTTTGGGTCCACCCCTTGTGTGGGAGCGTCACGCTCTGCATGGCAGAGCCATCGAAACCCAGGGAGAGCCCAGGGGCGCCCCTGGAGGCACGCGGGGCGCCTCTCGGCGCGGGCCCCCCCACTGGTGGCTGGATTGGGCTGGCGGCACGCAGCATGGGCTGGCGCCAGCGGGGGGGGGCGCGGCCTCCCGAGAGAGCAGGGGAGGGGGGGCGCCTTGGAAGCCCCCCGCCCGGCCTCCCGAGGAGGCGCCCCCTCCCCCCCGGCTTCCGGAGGGAGAGGCCGCCCCGCGCGCGCCCTGCCCCTCTCCGCCGCGCCAGGGCCGAGACGGGGCCGCTCTGGGCTCCGCGGCGCCGAGGTCCCGAAAAACGCAGGCCCGCCCTCGGCGGCCACTCCCGGGGGGCCCCCCGTACCGTCTGGTCGGCTCGTCTGGCCATCGCTCGGACGTTCAGTCCTTGTGTTTTTTTTTGTTTCGTGCGTGGTTTTTTCGGCAAATGATCAAGGATGCTCCTCGGTGGTCCTCGCCGAAGTAAAACTGCACACGTCCGAGCGATGCCAAGTCTTGCGAGTCGACGCTGGTCGGCGCTTGATCGACGCTACTGAGCGCTACATCGACGCCAGTGGACGCCAAATCGACGCCGAATCGGCGATGTCGCATCCACTCCCAGACGGTCCATCGACGCCAAAGGCGGAATGGAGTCGGCACGCCAGCCTCCCATGCTTTGCTGCCGAGCCCGCCGCAGGTGCCAGTCTGTGCCAGCGCCTCGAGCTATTCGTGCCAGCCAGCTGTGGGGCCACCGCTGGGCTCGGGGTCGGGCCCCCGGGCCCTCTCCCAGCCGCTGGGGCCCCCCAGGGTCCTCCGCTGGAAGGAAACATCGGCGTCGACACAAACTGCTGGCGCTCCCCGCGGACTTCCTGGATTGGCGCTGGGTACCCCCTGGCGGCACCTCCGGCGCTGCCCCTGGCGCGCGCCGCGCGCCAGGGAGGGGGCTCCAGCGCCGATCCAAAAACTCCGCTCGGAGCGCCACACATTTCTGGGAGTGCCGTTGTTTCTCTGTCGATCTGTGCACACCTCGGGCCACACGGAGCTGCGGGCCCATCTGGCTGGGCCCCTCCGCCTCCCCGCCCCCATGGCGAGCAAGAGAAGCGGATGTGAGCGTAGCAGCAGCCTCGCGCCCAGCAGCCACAGCCAGCCAACAAGCGTGCGACTTGGGGAGGGGCGGCGAGGGTCGGGCGGGTGGTGATGGGGATGATCTGAACGGGGGGGGGGGAGAAAAGGACCCTAAAGGGGCCTTTCTCTTCCCCCCCATGTGGGCCCCCCGCCCACTACCATCCGCCCGAGGGGGCGGAAAGGACTCAATCTGGTACTTCAGCGCCTGGAGGGGGAGGAGTAACCCGCTCGACGTGCGGGGGCAGTGGGATGGGCTCTGTTTGCAACCGCTTTCGCTTGCCCGTTGCGGCCTCGTGTCGCCTCCACCGATGGCTGGTGATGCCTCCGCTGACTGCGACACCGAGAGGCGCCGCCGCTGGGGGTCCATCTTGACAACCATGCTGGCTCCAGGCGGAGAGGGAGCCAAGGAGATTGACCCCGTGCTCCGACGCACGTCGGCTTAGACTATTGTGCTCAGGCCCTGGAGAGCCAAAACTGCGTAAGTCAGCTCGCGAATGATGATCATAATGACGATGGTGATGATGATGGTGATGATAATGATGATGATGGCGATGCTGATGATGGTGATGATGATGAAAATGATGACGACGACGACAACGACGACGAGGATGAGGATGAGGATGAGGATGAGGATGATGATGATGATGATGATGATGATGACGACGATAATGATGGCAACGATGGCGCTGAGGATGTGCGCCTGCGGATATGTGGCGGTCGTGGTGCCACCACCAATGCGCATAACCTCCGCAATTTCGGATCATGAGAATGAAGGCACTTCGCGAAGCTCGAGGGCACATGCGAGGAATCCAACCACAGGCGCCGACTCGTTCTGCGCAGGCGCCGATCTTTTCCAGAAGAGCATGCAAGTGCGCTGCGGATGGGGTCGCCGCAATAAGAAGCCAGAACGAGCAAAAATCCGGGTGAGGGTAAATCGGGGATCTCTGATATCCGGCGACTCTGGAGGATGTCTCGGGCGCCGCGGCCTTCGGGACGCTCCACCGCGCTCCGGAACGCTCTGAGAGCATCCTGGAACGCTCTGGAACGGCCCCGCCCGATGGTGGCCCGCGACGCGGGGTGCAGTGGGGGTCGGCGGCGAGCACGGGGTGGAAGCGAGAATGGGGCGGGCCTGCTCAGAAGGCTCGGAGGTCCACCAGCCTTCTGAGAAGTCTTCTGCGCCTTCCCCGAAGGCACACGGGACCTCTCAGGAGGCGCGAGGGCTTCTGAGCAGCCCCGCTGCCTTCTGAGCTCGCGTTTCCTTCTGGCAGCCGACGTCAGCGGACCGAGGGGCGAACCGCGGGACGGGTCACGGGGCGAGGAGAGGAGGAGGAGGAGGAGGAGGAGGAGGAGGAGGAGGAGGAGGAGGAGGAGGAGGAGGAGGAGGAGGAGCGCACATACTCCAAAAGGAAGAGACGAGGACAAGCGGGCAAGACGCAAGACGAGGGCAAATTGTCCGCACGCGTCAGTCCACTGCGGCCGGCCTACTTCCAGAGCAATGCTTTGGCGGCGCTCAACCCTTCAGCAATCGTGGCTGGGGTCGGCGTTGCGTGCTTCAGTTTGTTGAACAGATTGAAGGCCAGCACAGTCCGCTGGATCGACGGCAGCAACGAGAGGTCGCTGTCGGGATCAGACGGGTAGGCGGCGGCGGGGCCCAAGCCCCAGCGCGCAAGTGCGTTGCGGAGCGGGGGAGAGTCGGGGGACCAGAGGAGGCTCAGGAGGCCAGGGCAGGAGAGGTAGTGAGGGAACGAGTCGGGCGCCGCCTGGCACCCAAACACGCGCTGTTTCTGCTGGAGGACGTGCATGCGATGGGTGGTTGTCCAACCCCCAGCAAGCGTCTTGTAAACAACCCAGCGCCAGCTGGGGCGGACTTTGCGGAGTTCACTGGTGAGAGCAGACCAGCGCGACGCGAGCTCTGGGGCTGATGGCGGCTGCTGAATGCCCCAGGCTGCGATGCGCTTCTCGAGAGAGCGACTGTGACGTTCACGCGAGCTCGAGCGCGGTGAAGCTCGAGCGCGACCGCACGCTGCACCTTAGGGCGGCGCGGTGGCTCGGCAGCCGGGGCCCCACGGAGCTCGCGGGCAGCAGCGCGGTTTGCCGCGGCCGCGGCAGCTACAGAAAACGGGGCGGCACGCTTCCCGCAGGACAGGGCACGGTATAATTGCGCGATGGAAGCGTCCTCTTCCCAGAAGGGCGGAGACCACTGCCCAGGCTCCCACCGACGGAAGGAGTGCGCCGTTCTCTCCTCCCACACGGTGTCTCGAAGGCGCGCATGGAATGGTTCCCATTCCCCGCGCAGCGTGTAGGAAGCAGAACGAATTGCGGCGGCGACTGCAGAAATCCGGGCAGATCGCGGGACAGGAGGCGGGCGCCACTCCGCCAGTGCAACGAGATGTACTTTGCGAAACGTGTTCAGCGGCAGACTGAACATGTTGTGAAAGACGTCATGTTCACAGCGAGCAATCTTCAGATCAAGCGGAAAGAATTGCGAGACATAGCTGAGCGCCGAAACGACCGATGTGCCGCGCAGGCGAACGGTGGCATCACTCCCACTCTGAACAAGCTGGGGGGAATTACCGCGCCGCCGCCATTTCTGCCCAGGGGCGAGCCATTTCGAGGCAAGAGAGGCCGAGGGCACGTGGAAGGTCCCGAGGTATTTGGCTCGCCCCGGCACCGAAAAAAAACCCAAGGAGGGGCAGAAGTCAGCCAGGAGGGATTTCGGAAGAGCTACGGTGGCAGGCGTAGTCTTCGCCCAAAGCGGGGCGACGACACGCTTACAAGGCTTGAGCGTGAGGAGCGCGAGCTCCTCAGCAACGCAAAAGGGCTCAGAAGCGCGGCGCAGCGTGTCAAACGAGAACGCGAGGAGGCCAGCGTCGTCCGCACACACGCCGAGGTAGCCCCTGTCGTAGTCAGGAGTGCCATCGACCGTCTCGACAAACGAAGCCAGGTGGCGCGCCAGAGGGTCCATCGCGATCGCCCACGCTGAGCCGCTCACAGGGCAGCCCTGCGCCACGCCAGACTCGATCGGGAACATGAAGCGACGGACACCGCCGATCTTGAGGAAGCTGTTCGGGGCGTGGTACAGCTGGCGAAAGAGACTGCGCAATCCCCCAGGAACTCCAAATCGTTCCAGAGATGCGAAGAGCCAGGCCCGTCCACGCGACAGGAACGCCGTAGCGAAGTCGAAGCTGGTGAAGACGGGTTTGTGCAGCTCGGCGTCAGGGCGCACCCCTGCACAGCGCATCTTCGCGTCTAGGTTGACGATGCGCCTGGTGGAAATGCGGCCGACGACGAAGCCCTGCTGTGCGTGATGCGTCCGCTCTGCCACAGCGGATTTGATGAGGAAGTTGGCAGCGCCCGCGATGGCCTTGATACCCGTGTTCTGGAGGGAGAGCGGGCGAGCGTCCTCCGGCTCGCCCGTGAGGGAGGAAGGCGAAGTCGGAGTCACTCAGATCGTGGATCAAGTCAGCGCTGGAGCAGAGATGCCACGCGAGGTCCTCGAGCAGGTCCAAGGGCGCGTCGACGGCAAGCCAGGCGCGGTACGGCAAGAGGCCGGGCCCAGGCGCAGACGGCGCGGTGCGCTGCAAGAAGCTGCGGAACTGCGCCTTGGTGGGTGCGCCAACGTCAATGGTGGGAAAGAGCGGCATGCGCGGTGCGATGCACTGCTCGACCCTCACTTCGTCGACCTTCTTGCGCTCGAAGACAGGGCGCCAGTGGTCGCGAAGTGCGCCCACCATCGCACAACTCTCTCTGGCCACCGTCGGAAGGCCCGAAGGGTCGGTGGTTTCGATGCCCTGGAGGACAAGGCGGCGCTTCCAGGGGGCCCAAAGGAGGGCTCTGCGCTGGGGCGCACGGGCGATCTTTCGGAGCTCCTCAGGCTCGATGGCCTTCGGCGAGCCCCGCGGCAGCTGGGCCGCTCTTTGTGCCAGAGAGCGCTGCCGATCCTCGAAGTCGCTGTACAGGGCGGAGGACTTCATGGCGAACTCGGCGGCGCCCGAGAGCGCGATGGCGCCGTCGTCCAGAACGAGGTACTTTGAGCCGAGCTCGGTGGTGGACTGCAGACGGCGTGCCAGATGGATGTCCTGGCGCCAGATCGCTCGCGAGATCGAGCGTGCCGTGATCACCTGGCCGTCGGAGTGGTTTGTCTTGCCGGTCTCTCCAGCTGCACGGCTGACCCAATCATCACGAACAAGACGGGCAGCCTCAACCATGAGACGCTCGCGCGCGCGCCAGCGGCTCGCGATCGGCAGGTGGGTCGCGACAGCGTGGTCGAGCATTTGTTGGAGGCACTTGGTGAACGAGGGGTCGCGGAAGATGGCTGGGGGGATAGCCTGCTCCACTGGCGGCGTCGTCGGCTTGATATCGATGGCGTAGGAGACGATGGCGTGGTCGCTGAGGAGGCGATCCGAAAGGATGGCTGGGTCGTGGGCGATGCGGATGACCGATGTGAGCTCAAGCATGGCGTGCGACGGCACGCTAATGAAGACCCGGTCGATGGTTGACGCGGCGAAGTCGGACTGGTTGAAGCGCGTCGGTAGGTCGGACTCGATCTCCAGCATGCTGTCAAACAGGGCCTTCCAGAATGGCTGTTGCTGCCGAGCGCTGTTGTCCAGCGTGAGGCGTGCGCGCTGTGGCCGCGGCTGGAAGAAGCTGTTCGGCGGGCGGCTGGCAGCGTTGAAGTCGCCCGGGGCGACGAAGGTGCGGCGCAGGCAGGTGGCTTCCGCCCGCGCACGGCGTCGGTGCCAGGCTCGTTGAATGATATCTCGACCCCGGCGTCGATCTCGCGATTATGAACGTTCATGATGACGATGGCGTTGCGGGTGATTGCGTCAGTGACGGCGACGAGCTGGACGCGGCATTTGACGAGATCCTCGTGGGCGAAGACCGGGTGCTGGGACGGCTGCAGCTGCTCCAGCTGCGCGCGCGTGAGCCACGGGATGAGGGCGGCCACGCCGCCCGTGCCCGCGCGCGCGTCATCGGCGGACTCGTCGACGAACTGCGAGCAGAATAACTTGCACGGATAGGGCTGGGTGTCGACCCACGTGCGGAAAAGCTTCTCCGAGCCGTGGACCTCCTGCAGGACAATGACAGCGCGCTGGCGCATGTACTGCTGCAGGGCTGCTCGTTTGCGGCGGCGCTGCATGCGCTTGTGGCTCATGAGCGCGCCGGCGTTCCAGGTGATGAACGAGCGGGGCAAGTTGTCCTGGACTGGCTTCCGCGGTGCCCAGAGGCGGCTAAACCCGCCAGGTGGCCTCCGCCGTGTCCGCGAAGAGCGTCTGGAAAGAAGTGAGGGCGGCGCCGCGGCCGATGTCGCGGAAGTGAGCGAGCTCCAGCGCCTTCTCGTTCCACTCCAAGATGGCGGGGTCGGCTTGGCCCTTGACGTCCAGGCGCGCGACGGGCATGGCGTCGCAGTGGATCTCGCCAGTGGCGCGGCATGCTTTCCAGACATTTCGCGGATAGCGATACTGAAGGAGTTTGG